GCAGGGGGACGTTCTCCTTCTTTTCTTTGCTCTCCTGTTGTAGGGTGATGGGAGCGTCGAGGAAGGTACCGGTCGCTCTCGACAGTTATTCCATCCCTGTCTCGGCTGCGTCTGTCCGAATGAGAGCACGAGTCCATTCTGGGTTTCCGAACTTGGGGGACGCGATTCCCTCGTGTGTTGCTTCGTCGGCTGGAAAATTATTTTCATTTTTGCGGTACGTGCACGTTCATGCAAATATTTTTACTTGGCGCAAGCGAATGGAATGAAATTGAAGGCGATACGTGGAAAGCTGAGTTTTGAGCCGTCATACCAATTTCATCCGGTTTTAGACCTAACTCTACCCCATTGGCTTGCCTATTCAATCTTTGTGTTTAGTATCCCACTAGTGTAAAAGTCCATGTGCACACAGGCTGAAATAAGTCGAATGTGAGCCTTTCGTGCATGCATTTCTGCTCTCTCTAAGTCAGTTTGTCTCTTGGAAGGTGCCTGCAAAGCAGCATTTTCTGCGCGTTGTTGTGGTCTTTCATCTGCTGGCTGTGATTACAAAAGGTCTACTTTCTTGTGCGTTCAGTAAATCACGATTTTGCGATATAACTGGCTTGCACAGTTTATTGTGAGACAGACACACTTCACCACTTTGTCTTCCTACACAGCATGCCCTTTATTCGGAGCCGTTCCACCCAAAAATGCGTTTCTGCGCAGATTTGCGAGGGGTCTCTCCGACACCCCCTGAGTCATATACATCGTCTGAAACCTGGAGTTCTCAAGCTTAGAGGTCTAAACGGGTTGCGGGTCGGCCAGATCAGCCCACCCCGATTCGCGGCCCGGAGTAGCAAAGCTCGGTCGACGATCGAGCTACGGGTCGGGTGCGTGTAACGACTCGGACCGGGCCGAACGAGTTTCAGCTGCAAAAGTCAACTCGTGTAGGCCTCCGACGCGCAGACATGGAGGATGCATAGCAGCAACGAAGATGTCGATAGTTAATTGGCCGTTTTCAAGCATTCTAATTATGCTGGATTTAAGCCTCACTGGCCTGGAGACCGGCCAGAAACCGAGGTGCTTACCCTATCCGACCGAATGAAGAGCCTGGGGGAGCCCTGGATAGCTCTCTCGGTTCGAAAGTGTGTTTACTTATCCCGATGCCCCCCACAGACCCCGTGTTGAGCGAGTCGTTGGATAACTCAACGATTTCACCACTCATCCGACCTTCGCAAAGGGCCTGCGGCGAGAGGCGGGGAGTGGGAAGTGGGCGAGACATGCGCATTGCGCCCCAGGCCATCACCCTCTCGAACCTTAGTTGCGCGTCTGTCGCGGTCTGGTGAGGGTCACCTCTACGATCGTACGCAGCAACCTAGCAGGGGTGCTGGGTCTCCACGACCGAGGTTGTAACAGTCCTCGACGCATCTCCCACGTTCAGCCTCTAGCTATAGTCACCTTCCTTGACTGGTTGGAGAAGCTGTGAATTCGCTAATCTGACGGATCGAGCAACTTGAATTCGATCTCCCATGACTTGCAGAACTGAAACGAAAACAAATGATCTAACTACTAACAAGAGACGATCTTCGAACATCAAAAGATCTGCCCGATATCGATCGTATACAATACCTTTACCGTAAGAAGTAGCTTTCATATCACGTGCAGAATGATCCCAATAATGCCAACCTATTTGATCGAATTCTCGACTCAGGAATGCATCTCCTCAGACTTACTCGTACACGGAGGACCGACACGAAACACATGCGCATTCGAGCAGAGCTCGACCATGAAAGTACAAGTTCAGAAACCAGCTCGACGAGTGAGTCATACCATAATGCCAGTCATACGACCTTGGACTTTCCTACGCAGTGCTTCCAAGTAGGAGCAAGTCTTCGCGCACTTTTCAGCCTCAGGCTATATTCATCCTCTCTGTTCTTAATGAAGGATGTTCTATTATATTGGCTCAAATAATTTATTCTGATCCTTGTATATTTTGCTGGCATCAATTTAAATATTGTAGCAAAAACGGAAGTAAGATCGCCTTCCTTACTCTTCTGAAAAGGGGAACGTTTTAATTTAAAGTACCAGGCAGATTCCTGGTACTGTATATAGGGATATATGGAGCCCAATGTCCGATGTAAGGAACAATCACGTGATCCGCACGTGTGCTCCGCATGTCTTACCCCCTCCCTCGCTTTTCTTGTTGACAAATTCTTTGCAACGGTCACAAATGACCCAACTTTATGATCTCCTTCCCGGTATAAAAACCCCCGTCTTCAGTCCGAGAGAGGCAGTCATTCGCTTGCACGACTCAGCAGCTCGAGCTGGGAGCTCTCTCTAAGCTTTTGAGCCTGCCAAGAGTCTGCGGCTGGACGACTCCTCCAGAGCTCGGTTGACCCGATTCCATTCGTGGATCCACCCCTAAAGGAGGTGGAACGGCTCAGAAGGCGCTGCTCCATTTGTGAGTAAACGGCCGCCAATCTGTCCGCGGGTCACGAACCTCGAGCTCTGTCAACATCAGCGTACGTACCACCTGCTCGGTTTGACCTCCACTCAAACCTCGAGCCAGGACGTACTACGACGGTTCAAGATCCACGACTCCAAACGACTCCATCAGGACCTTGTTGTCTCCAGTTGTTAATTGATTGGTCGGCTCGGTTTGATCCAAACCTTGAGCGGAAGGGCTACCGGTTTGTAGCACCTGTGATCCCTTTCCCTTACGGATAGGAAGGCCTCTGGACCTTGGTGTATCCAGACGGCAGAAGAAGTCGTTAATCGACTGGTCGGCTCGGTTTGATCGCTGATCTAAACCTCGAGCGGAAGGGCTACCGGTTTGTAGCGCCTGTGATCCCTTTCCCTTACGGATAGGAAGGCCTCTGGACCTAGGTGTCTGCAGACGTCAGAATTTCCACGGATAATCGACTCCTCACTTGAGGCTGGCACCCATTTGAGAAGAGCTCGATTACACCAGAGATTTCGTTGCAGCAACTGGACGAGGACAGGATTCCGGGTTCCCCCGAGACCCGTAGGTACGGAGACAGTGGAGGACAGCAAGACGTCGTTTGGATTTTTCAAGCCTCTCAGAAGATCTATACCTCTCGGACAGCCCCTGAATCTCATAAAACCTGTAGTCATTCCGTAGTCTGTAATAAACCTGGCCCATATTCCACCTGACTGCAATCGTGTTCCATTACCCACCTGCCAATTCTTTTTTTTCGATAAATCGATAAGTACGGCAATCAGCCGTCTACGGGAGATTTCCCGATTTAACTTACAGAATCGCAACAATATCTTTCACGAGGGGGAGAGGCGGATAACCAAAATGGACATCGTTCACACGGCGACTGGCAGACAGCCTCGTTTGTCGATATCCAGGAGAGGGAACCTCAGCTTCGCCTCGGTCCCCTCTCCTGGAAATCTAAAGAACTCGCCCGCCTGTCGATCGGTGTATAGTGCATCCGTTCGAATCGCGGGTCTAGAGAGATAAGAGATAAGCAAAGGAAGACACTAGCGTGTCAGGCGGCACTAGGGCCAAAGGGAAAACTGTATGATTAATGAGGGGAGAGGGGGAGTGAAGAAGGAAACCAATGGCTGAGCTTCCTTTCCTTTCAACCCACTACTTCACAAAATTCTAAAAATACATTTCCTCGTACATTCATTGATCTCCTCCTTCCCCCCTCAAAAAAGGGGCAGAGTCGCCCTTGGGTTCGGAGGTGGCCGATTTCATTGATGCTTCCCACGTCTCATCCTCATTAGGCCGGTGCCACATAGATCAGACAACTCGCTATTCAAACGGATAAGTGAGGCCCGTTTCGGATATCCGACTCTTCCCCTCATGTAACTTATACTTCTTGGGGGTGTGTCATTTTGACAGGTTTAGTCCGAGGATGTTTAAGAGGGGGGGGGGGGGGGGCAAAGTGCCTGGGGGAATATATCAGTGCGCTCTTGCTCTCAATCCATCCCCCAATATCTGCCTCTCTACTGTTTCAAATAAATTACTACTCTCGTCTGTTTCAAATAAATTAATTTGAGCGTTTTAGTATCGCATTTTGTGTTCCAAGGAAGGAAGGCGCAAATTTTATGTCTGGAGAGGGGGGGGGGGATGGTGGGAAGGCTTGAACTCACCCCAGCCTAGACCTGGTTAACTATAATACTTCAAAAACTCTCATATGACGTCGTGGCGCGACGACCTATGCGGCGCACAATCCAAGGTGGTAGTGTGGCTTGTGTTCTTCAGCGACTGCGTTAGTGAGCTTGAGTTTTGATTCACCCTCGCCTATGGTTACCTTAACAGGTATGATACTTCTCAGTTGTTTACGTATCCTGAAAGAATACATTTTGCATTTTTGCTCAATTTTGAATGTATTTGGTGCTGAGAGAATGCAGTTCATAGAAAAACTTTTCGGCAGGAGTGGAACGTTTTGAAATAGATTGGAAAATTAATATATACTATCTGAGCAGATTAGAATGGTTACTTTTTACCATCCCCCCCTTTTTTTTTAAACCAAGCCATATAAGTATATGCATGCAGCCTTTTATTTCAAAAGGCTATCATAACAAGTCCCTTACGAGCTGAAACTTATCACGCACCTTTCCACACATTCTTTACATTTCGAAAATTCGACACACTCAATGTATGTCGCAATGAGCATAACATTCAACACAGCATTTTCCTGTCAAAAAAATTTGTGTGAATGGATATGAATGGTATCCGACGGGGAGCGTTGGAATGCATCGTTCCAGGAGGACCAGTGAATCGCTTTGCAATGACTTATTAGGAAACTTAACGAGTGAGTATTATTTCGTTAATATGGCCAATAATCACTTCCCTCACTTCCTTAAGGAGGGGATTTCTACTCTGGACAAGAACATAGATTTTCCTTCCATTTAACTCGGAAAAGAGAGATAATGATAGAAATATGAGTCTCCCTTGACCCTAATCGGAGTGTCTTTTATACAGCTTGTTGTAAAAGGTTCATCGCATCTGCTCTGCAACATCTTCCCCCCTTTCTCCCCCTTTTTTTTCTAAGGAACTGGACCTTGAAATGATGACAAAAGTGCCTCTAGCCTCACGATCGCGAACTCCGACGCTTGAAACTCCAGTGATATCGTGATGGCTTCCGTAAACGTGGCGGTGATTGAGGTCTTCGTCATCCTTGGCCAATGCCTGCTTCTAGTCTTCCCTCAGTCTGCACCCAGCCAGAAGAACGGAATTTGTAACGTGAGGGGTAGTAAACTCCTATGCCTAAACGTGACGCATCTTCCGAAGCATTTGCCAAAGAACATTGACTACATCCACGTGATTGACTCAAATCTTGACCGTCTGGAGCAGGAAGACCTGAATTCGGCCTCAGTGGAAACTTTGAAGTTTGAGCGAAATGTGATCGGGGAGCTGACAGAGGGAGCGTTCCGACTCCTCCCTAACCTCAAGTCCCTTCACATGTCTGATAACCGCATCCACGCCAATCTTACTTGGTGCCTGTTCTTTGACCTTGACAACCTCACCAGCCTCGACTTGGAGGGCAATCGGTTCAACGCGGAATCTTTTTCCAATTTACTGACACTCAAGAAAACCGCAGCTCCCATGCAATACTCCAAAGATTTCTGTAGGTGCGAAACGACTGCAGATGAACGCAATTCCTCGTGCAGTGAGGAACTGACAGTCCTTCCAAAACTGCAATTTCTAAGACTGAGCTGCAATCCATTCATCATCCTGCCAAGTGACATATTTTTACCTCTTGGACAAAGTCCGGTCGTATCGCTTTCCCTAAGAACGTGTCAGTTGCTCTACATTGATAACGGTGAGATGATAGTTTCAATTCTAGACCGGAAAGTTGCTGTCCTAGAATATTACACTACGTTTATGATACTAAGCATCATTTAAATAATTTTCTCAGACACATGGGCTCCTCTACAACACTTCCAAAAAGTATTCTTGAAGAACAACAAGGAGTCAAAGATAGATGAACTGGCTCGAAATATCGCCAATATGAACCTAAGGACCAACATATCTCTGGATCTGTCCCTGAACTCGCTGCAGGAGGTACCGATGGCCGAGCTGGCGCCATTGAACTCCACGCTGGTAGAGCTCATCCTCACCGGCAACAACTTCAGCATCATTCGGAGGAGTGCCTTCCCTCAACTGCATGCTTTAGTATATCTGAACCTTGCGACGTGCGGGATCGGGACAATCGAAGAAGGCGCCCTTGCTACCCTCCCCAACCTCAAGTACCTCGACCTCTCGCAAAATCGACTCATAAAGGTCAGCAACAGTTTTGATGAGTTATTTCATGTGAATTTTGGGACAAACCCAGCCTGTCTCAAGCGCAAAGTATATATAAAAAATTAGCGTTCAAAGGCATATCTAGTCCTTTGAAGTCATTCGTTTCTGATATCGCTTCGCTTACCATTCTGCAGGTTTCTCCGTTTTTGACGTTGATCTTGACGCTAGCACCCTATGCAATTTCCAATTGAAATGAAAAATGAAAAAAAGGAAAGTGAAAGCGTTTCTTCTTGCCCCAAACGAGACAGCTATTCGGATGTTTGTCTCGATTTGGCTATACAGACCTTGAATTGTTTATTTCCTGGAGTATCGGACTATATTTCATATTGGTCTTCATATTCTAAGATATTCATCATTTCAATGTATATGAAAAGATTCATTGATGTGAACTTTCCTCGGTTTTCTGTTTTTTTTGGTATGATTTTGACTGAAGAGGAAATAAATTTCAATGGCGAAAGAATTTAATTTTGTTGGAAGGCTGGTAAAATTCCAAGCTGGAAATATTAATCCCCCCTGAAATCCCGTCTTTATTGAGAACATATTGTTCCTGAAACAAATTATCCTGTGCGAATTTTTTCTTATTATGCTTCGTGCGGCGAAGCCAATAAGACGCCTCTGAGAATCGGTTGCAGGTGCACCAGGCGGTCATGCTGCCAACCCTTATCTTCCTGAGACTGGACAGGAATCCGTACGACGAATCATCTTGTAGATGGCAGCGACTCCACGGCGACGGAAACGACGAAAACGACTACGACTACGACGATGACTTCTTCGTTCCAATTTTTGAGAAGATGAACCGACTACGCTCGCTCTCTTTCTCATGGACCCACATCAAAACGCGGGAAATTACCAAAAATATGTTTGCCGGTACGTTCAATTTTAAATTCTCAACCGTTTTGGACTTCCTCAAATTAGGAAGGATATGCAGAATTCAATATATTTCAAGCTAAGTGTAGGAATGAGGAACCCACAGGCACGACATCATTCTAAACCGACGGACATTGTCCATAGCGTAATACACACACATATAAGGCAAGGAATCTTCGAATGGTGGTATCACGGTGTGGGTTGTGAGCTGGCGTCCTCAACATATGTTCTTGATAAGTTTGGAATGTTCATTATATGTTAGGCACATTTTCTGCTCATATGCTTCACATCTGCTTCCCATTCCTGTCATTATCTCATTTTCCCACACCTGGATCACATGCATCTCTGCTTCATCCTGGAGTCCCACGTGAAGAAATCCCTGTGAAACTGCAGTGAAATACGGGAGAAGCACGTGTGCCTCACCGGAAATACATACACGTGTCTCAAGTTACCCCCTATATGAGTAAAGGGCTGACACTTATCTCCTCTATCCATAAAGTAGTGGGAAATATGTCAGTCCTCTCAGGCAACACTATTGCCTTACCGTGAAAAAATTTCACTTGTATCTTAACAGCTTTACGCTAGTGTAAAATTAAGTTGTTGACCATGTCTCTTTCTACAGTCAGAAAGATACTTCATTACCAGGAGAGAGAATATTCCAATCACAAAGCAGTTTATCACGGTAACAGTGGCATGTAAAGCTGACTCAATAAAAGTTCATATACCGAAACATCAGCCAGTGCAAGTAACTCACGAATGGGATTATTTCTTTCTTCACGAGTGGCAATAATTCTTCTTCATATCTGCACCCAGTATTTCGGGGAATACTACTCGAACGACCTGCGATGAAATATCGGTCATATTGTGAAAACTAATAAAGACTAAATCCAGCTGTATTAGGTATTGAATCTCGATAGCGGCTACTTCGGTGACATCTGGCCCCGGTTGTGCGAAACCTCTTCTGTGCTTGTAACGTTTCACGTCGGCATAACCATTATTATGGAGGTCTTCAATTCCATGAAATTTACGACGGTCTGGTAACTTTATAGGAACGTTTCCGTACGTGGGTCCAGAAGACGATAAAGGTTCTTCACAGGTCACTTCTAAATAAATGTCACATGAAAGTTACACTTTTAAGAGTGTTGGAATCGAAGGTTACGACATCTCGGTAACTATCTTTTAACTTCTACATAGAGAGGTTCAAATCACCGTAAAGGTTGCGCACCCCTAGAAACCTTTGAAATGCCTTTTAAACGCGGGACTAACTTCTAAGGAAAAGTTACGTTTTTAAGAGTCTAGCGACGACCTCCGAGGAATGATCTTGGAGTTTTGAAATCGATCCTGCAGTTTTCCTGATACCGAGACTAAGTACTAGTACTTACTTAGTGCAGTCCTTAAAGTATAACCATTAGAAGCAGGTCGATGAACGGGTGACATTCATGTGCATGGGAGCTAGCGATTAGGAACCCGAGAGGGTTTTTTTTTACCCTTCAGCCCAAAACTAAAGGGTACTGCGTATCCTTATATTTCAGCTGTTTTTCTCACTTCATTACATCCTTAAATGACATGTCTTTCACATTTAGTGGAATTCGTAAAGACGATTCGTGCAACGCCAAAATGTCAGTTGGTCTTTTAGCCCGCTTTGAGGCCAAAGCACAATTCAAATATGCATTTCCAAGGCGATTCTCGAGCCTCCCTGCGAAGACACTAACCCGCAACCCCAAAGGATTACCATCTGCATGGGCCGATGAAAATAGGGACAGGAATTTGGGCTCTCCGATGAGACGAGGAAGTTCTCGTCGTGAGGATATTTGCATCCATGAGGCAGAGTAAAGCTGACTCAATAAAAGTTCATATACCGAAACATCAGCCAGTGCAAGTAACTCACGAATGGGATTATTTCTTTCTTCACGAGTGGCAATAATTCTTCTTCATATCTGCACCCAGTATTTCGGGAAATACATTATTTTCCAAAAAAATATCAACTGGACATCAGCTCTTGTGCCTTCCACCAATTACGAAAAACCCTTTTTAATAGTCATTATGGAAATTGGATGAACTGACTAGTTTTTTCTATCGACATTCATTCCATACACTTGAAACTCTGCACATTATTTCATAGTATGCTACCATGAGCTTCCGTACCAAATTTCATCCAGATCGCTCAACTTCTTGGTCGTTTCTTTTCTTGGCGATGGGTACGTATCAATGAAACTATTTTCTCCTGACACTTCCAGGTCTGAAGGAGCTGAGGAAAATGGAACTCAACAAGTGCCACTTGAGGTCGATCGAAGCCAGAGCCTTCTCCGCCCTGCAATACCTACAGCATCTCGACCTGTCCGGCAATCAACTAGAGATAGACAACGACGAGGTTTTCTCGAGGCTCACCTCCCTGTCCTCCCTCCTCCTTCACGACAACCGGATTAGCTTCAAAGGTGCCAAGTCGCCCTTCAAGACCTTGGGAAGTCTTCTGCACCTGCAATTGAATAAGAACTTCATCACCCACTTGACCAAGGATTTATTTTTGGGGTTGGAGAACTTGGAGACTTTGATCCTGAGAGACAACAATATTCGATATTGGAATTGGCCGGTTCTTGGAGCCACAAGGAATCTGTATTCCCTGAGATTGAGCCGAAATGAATTGATGGAAGTCACCGAGGCCATGCTGACCGACTTTGCCATTTTAAGGAAGTTGGATATCTCCGAAAACCCTTTCAAGTGTAACTGTGAACTACATAATTTCTACAGGTAAGTCTTGAAAACGCTTCGAAAGAAATCTCATATGTTTTTGCTCTCCCGATTTTTGACACATTCTTCGTTCTGGAAAAAATGATTCAGTTCCTCAATGTCATCAAATACTTCATTGTTCCTTTCACTAAATAATATTTACTTCCGTTTCTACCCGCGTGGAGGCCTACTTTCACCCGAAAAGGCAACGAGTTGATATATATAAAGTTGCCGAATAATTGAAAGATGGTTGATATCCTCACAGGTGAGCCATGAAGCACCAAGGAAAACTGCAGAGGTGGCACGAGGAAGAGGCGTATGTTTGCTGGACCAAGATGAGCGATCGGTATTCCCTACTGTTCGACGAGGACGAGATCTTCCGGGACTGCCAGCTTGATGTGGATGCACGCGAGCAGGAATCGTTGTTCGAGAGATCCAAGGCAATATACTTGACTGTCGGCATCTGCGTCCTTGTCGTCGTCGTCTTCATCGTTGGGTGTTTCGCCTGTCGGAGGGGGCGGCGCAAGGTGCCTCGGGGCAGGGATTACATTGGTCTCAAGAAGGCGCTGGCATGATCTACGTCACAGAAGTCATTCGAGACGGTTCCTTTGGTTCTTTCTATTTTCCCTCTTTTGTTGTTCTCTTTTGTTGTTTCCCTCTTTTGTTTTGTCCCTTTCGATATAAACTTGACCTGCATCTCGCATCCTATGGCTTCTTAAAATATTTTTCAATTTATTAAGGGAGGAAAAGTAATAGAACGTTTTCGTGCATTCATCAGGAAAGGACCCTATCCCGATTATGGCCTGCAATTTTCTGGCAATTCATGCATTTTACAGGAAAGCATCGACAAAACTTTCGAGTTTCACAGAGGGACGTGACGGAAACATTAAGGACTTCGACCCAAGTCTTGTGTCATTTTTTCATCGGCAAATGAGAGACCAATATTGCAGCCGCCACCTGCGTTGACAGTCCTAGGTGGTGTATTGAATTTGGTTGAAAAAGTTTGAAAATTGCCTTTCGAAGAATCTCAACCAATTCTACTCTGATCCAGCTTCCTTCATATTTATCTTAGTCATCATCGTATTATGGTAGAACGAAAGTCTGTTGTGAAATCTATCTTGCATTTGTTTCACACAAGCGGCAAAATCCGGATCTATACTCGTAGACTTCGATTTCCTCGAAACTCAACCGTTGTCTTTCACCTTGTTATTGCGTAAACTCCAGAATGAAATAAAATGAGCCTATGTACATATCCTTGATCAGGGGTGTGAAACATACTGCGGGCCGTCTGTTTTTACCTTGACCTCGAAGAAAGGTCGAAGGCGCCATCATCCCTCCTTCACCACTGGGAATTACACGATGGCGTCCACTGGCTGACCAGGGCTGTCGATATTCCAATAGTTCACCATTCGAATAGAGAGGGATTGTTGGCAATGTGCACCAGTAACGGAGACACACCCGGCTTCATTCGCTCGCCTGCCATCGAGCAGAATCAGCGGCGGCGGTGAAGTGAGCCACGCGCGATATCGAACGACCTGCGATGAAAGATCGGTCATATTGTGAAAACTAATAAAGACTAAATCCAGCTGTATTAGGTATTGAATCTCGATAGCGGCTACTTTGGTGACATCTGGCCCCGGTTGTGCGAAACCTCTTCTGTGCTTGTAACGTTTCACGTCGGCATAACCATTATTATGGAGGTCTTCAATTCCATGAAATTTACGACGGTCTGGTAACTTCATAGGAACGTTTACGTACGTGGGTCCAGAAGGCGATAAAGGTTCTTCACAGGTCACTTCTAAATAAATGTCACATGAAAGTTACACTTTTAAGAGTATTGGAATCGAAGGTTACGACATCTCGGTAATTATCTTTTAACTTCTACATAGAGAGGTTCAAATCACCGTAAAGGTTGCGCACCCCTAGAAACCTTTGAAATGCCTTTTAAACGCGGGAGTAACTTCTAAGGAAAAGTTCCCTTTTTAAGAGTCTAGCGACGACCTCCGAGGAATGATCTTGGAGTTTTGAAATCGATCCTGCAGTTTTCCCGATACCGAGACCAAGTACTAGTACCTACTTAGTGCAGTACTTAAGTATAACCATTAGAAGCAGATCGATGAACGGGTGACATTCATGTGCATGGGAGCTAGCGATTAGGAATCCGAGAGGGTTTTTTTTTTACCCTTCAGCCCAAAACTAAAGGGTACTGCGTATCCTTATATTTGATCTGTTTTTCTCACTTCATTACATCCTTAAATGACAAGTCTTTCACATTTAGTGGAATTCGTAAAGACGATTCGTGCAACGCCAAAATGTCAGTAGTCTTGTAGCCCGCTTTGAGGCCAAAGCACAATTCAAATATGCATTTCCAAGGCGATTCTCAAGCCTCCCTGCAAAGACACTAACCCGCAACCCCAAAGGATTACCATCTGCATGGGCCGATGAAAATAGGGACAGGAATTTGGGCTCTCCGATGAGACGAGGAAGTTCTCGTCGTGAGGATATTTGCATCCATGAGGCAGCCTTGCGTTTTCTCACTCGGACTGACATCCGTACGAAAGGTTCCGATTTTATTCGGTTCGCGACGGCGCAGCTACGCGAGAGACGCGAAGCGGAACGTATTCGTCGATGCAGGACCGAACGGCAACTTCGGTTCTCCGGCTCGTCGATCGAATGAAGCTCTGCGAGTCGAAGAACGAACGGCGACGAGAACGGCGGGGGGGAAGTCCCGGCCGGCCCCAGTTCGTCAAGGCCTTTGTCAGTGACAAGTGATGGCAAGTCGCTCCGTGATTTCTCACCGATTTCCGCCCGTCGTGTTGGCAATTCCCTTCGATGCCTCCAGGGAATCCCTGTCGCCTCGCGAAAACCGATAGATTCCCAATCGATAATAAAAAAACATGAGCGTATTTTCGAGAAAGTTCTCTAGTTCCCCTCTATAAGCTGGGCCAATATAACCGGATAGTTTTCAACGTTACCCGACCCATTCGAGACACGCGTGTTACGTCGAGGGACTCCCTTCCGGTCGAATCTCCGAATGAGTCGATTCCCGACTCGGCAGCCGAATCGATGCCGTCGATAAGAAGCCACCAGAAGCCTCTGCAATATTTTGACCCCCCTACTCTTGTAGTGTCGCATCTACTGTAGTAACACTCTCGACTCTATTGTGGCATGACATTCAGGTACTGAAAAACGGCTTCGAGTGAGATTCTATATGTGTACATGATTGTTCAATCATGTGGAAATATAGATTCTCACTCACCGAGTCTCCCTATTTCTGGCTGGGAGTACTCCAGAGAGTAGTACTTTCCTTCAACCGTCATCTTTTGAGGCCTTCGCATTTCATACGTGATTTTAGCCTCATTGTGATTTCATACATCTTACGGCTCTTTTCCGCTCAAGAATTGTTTCTCCGGTAAGACTCTCGATCGATCGTCTCTTTTTCATTATACCCGAATCTGCAACTCCTGAAGGGGGGGGGGGGGGCCAGAAGGAGCTACCACTATCGAAAATCACCTTATCGCTTAATCGTCGCCCCAAACGGTGGAAGCCCTAATTTGAAGCATGTCTCCACCACGATTAACATGAGTTGCCATGGACTGCTTCACCTATGTAAACAAATGAATTGAGAAATTCGAGTGTCTTTCTCTACGTTCTCTGTCGGAAAAAATCAAGTACCGCATGATAAGTCCTGGGGTCTCATAATTAAACAGTCACTCCCTGATAGTACTGAAACAGCGGCTTCATAGGCGTCATCCCGTTTCATTTGTGAGAACCTTTTTTGTTCAAATACTTGAGATAGATGTCCAATCCAGAAATATGCCAAATATTGCCTGCAGCCCTGGAGCCGTTGTAGGGCCTAATATGGGCAGCCCACTGCGATGTGGGCCCACGTTCCCCCACTCGCGGTCAACGTGGATCCAACGTCGTGTGTTGCCTGGGGTCTTAAGAAGGGCAAGGGTGTGTCTGGCCCTTCTGCATGGGAGATAAATCTGGGGATGATGCACGTCACTCCTTTGTTGGATAGAATGAGTTGTTTCATTCGAGTACTTTACGTAGTCATTTCTCTTTGAAAAGCCTCAAACCGTATTAAGACATATGCAGTGAGTACACTATAGCGTATCGTTGAAAGCTGTCAGGCTTTTGTTTTATATTACTCAAAGATCGAACTCGCTCTCTCTGGGGCAATGTACGTACATTGCGCCTTCTTACACCCCCATGCACACTATGCAAACAGAAACCGCTTCCTGTCATCCTTTCTTCATCTCCCGTTGGAACCAAGCATCTATCTTGAAGAAAATGTGTGGATTTTTGAACCGAGAACTATCCGATAATGCGGCTTTATTCCAGGGAATATACATTTATATTTCCTGGTGAATCCGCCCCAAGATATTTGAAGGACCGTTTCCCCCTCGCGGGAGGGAGTAGGACCCATAGGGTACGCTGCTGATTCAGAAATAGTGTTCCGACCGCCGCGGTCGGAACACCATTTCTGAATCAGCGGAAGCGACGAAATGGGGCTCCGATCTCGCCGGTCCGTTCCCCCGGAGGAAAACTAGTATCCAAGTGCTACATGTGAGGAGGTTATGTCACACTGGAAGACAGAATAACAAGATAAGAGGATACTGCAGTGTTCGTGGTGCACACGTGGAAGGTCCATAGGCAAAATACTGTATACTGTGTGCAGTCTGAAGGGGGGGGGGGGAAGGGGAGGTGTGGGTGAGAAGGAATGCGTTTTTATTCCATTCTGCCAGGTCGCTTCGATTCTCTGTCTGTTCCATACAGTATGAAAGGAAAAAAAATTTTCCTTTGTATCGTCCAGACGCGTTTGAACCTCCGTCTGTCTTTTCATTGCTTGGAAGGAAAGCTCCTCCGCACTCCGCGGAAATGCATTTGTCGTCGCTATTCACACGCAAACGCACAAGAGTCCCGACCGCCTGGTTCTGTGATCAGTCAGTGCAAGTGTGTGAAGTGACCGTTCGTGTTTCCGTTTCTCCAGGTGTTCCTTTCTTCTGTGTTTCCTGTCCGCTAGTGCATCCCTATCCTGGCTACGTTATGTAGTGATGGCGAAACCATCTACCAGGAAGGACAAACGCTTTGGGAACGTTAGGATACTTAATTTAAGAACGGATCTCACACCTCTGGGACGAAGTACCTCATATAAGTGAGAACGAGAACCGGAAGTTCATGATTGAACACGACACGGGCAAAATCCGCCACCCGACCAAGGAGTCAGTCCCAGGTCATTCCGATGCCCATTGGCCCCTAATTGGGGACTCATCTGTGCGCTTCCCTTTCAAGACGGTGTGACAGCGCGCGTTCTTACTCGCACACGATTGGCACGGTTGATGGACCCAGGAAACCCGGAACGACCATGTCACATGCCCGCCGATCGTTTGGTTCCATGCATGCCTGCATCAGTTTCAAGTCCTCTCGCTCACGTCTGGGTTCGGTCCTCCGGTTTGCAGACCTGCGGCTGGGCTCATCTCGGGAATGATTTCCCATCCCCTTTCGTGTGATTCCCGTGCTCACAGTGTTAGCATTTCTGTGAAATAAGGACTCGTAGAAGAGGAGCAGGAATCGGTACGGTGTAGATCGCAACATGCGCTTCTCAGACATTTGTAATAATTTCTCGAAACCTGTAGCGAGGAAGTCCAGGTTGCTCATTCCCTGTCATCGCGAACGGTAACGGATCGTAAAGGGTTTTATATCTGTAATGTTATCGTTCTACCAGTCGTTTCATTTTTATCGGGAGCAAATGGATTCTTTTCTATTTCATATCTCTTTTCGAGATGATTTTCAACCATGCCTGTAACTTGGCTGACCCGCAAGGCCGAAATCACTGGTTGGGCTCTTCAAGAGAGAGAAATGCAGCATAGGCAACCTTGTGTCTCCATTCCGCCTTCCCCCCGGGGGGAGGGGGGAGGAGGTGGCGAGGGGGCGAGGGGTGGGAGAGAGACGGGCGCCTGGGTTCCTCCAAGCTAAGACGGAGAAACACAGACTACAAGGCGGACGCTTGTGTTCCCCTCCATTCTCCATCTTTTTTTCCTCCTTATTTCTTGCACCATTCCCTCCAACAATAACATCTATTCCGTACAACGATTTCATTCAGCTCGCAAAAGTTCTCTTTGATCCGGGTGAATCCTCTATACCAGGGCTCGGTTCATTCACCTCGCTCAACGTACCTATCACTCTTGTCAAAATAGCCCTCGTATTTTAAAGAGAAGATTCACTCGGGCTGCTTCTAATCCCGGATCTAATCCAGTCTGCGTCTTTCCTCCAAATGAAAGGAATGAGCCCCATGCAGCAAGACATTTCCCTTCTTTTCTTTGCTCCCCTGTTGTAGGGTGATGGGAGCGTCGAGGAAGGTGCCGGTCGCTCTCGACAGTTATTGCATCGCTACTTCGGCTGCGTCTGTCCGAATGAGAGAATCTTCTATTCTGGGTTTCCAACCTTGGATGACTCGATTCCTTCGTGCGTAGCTTCGTCGACACGAAAATAATTTTTATCGTTGCGATGCGTGCACGTTCGTGCAAATATTTTTATCTGGCGCGGGCGAATGGAATGGAATTGAAGGCGATACGCGGAAAGCTGAATTTTGAGCTGTCGTGACACTTTTAACCGTTTTTAGCCCCAGCTCCACCCGTTAGCTCGTCTGTTCACTCTTTGTGCTTATTATCTCACTAATGTATAAGTCCGTGCAGGCACGGGCCGAAATAAGTCGAATGAAAGCAATTCGTGCATGCATTTTCGCTCTCTCTTTGATTTTTCGAAGGTGCCTGCGAAGCAGCATTTTGTGAACGTCTTTCTGGTTTTTCATCTGCTGGTTGTGATTACAAAAGGTCTACTTTCCTGTGCGTTCAGTAAATCATGATTTCGCGATAAAACGGGCTTGCACGGTTTGTTGTGTCACAGACACGCTTCGCCACCCTGTATTCATACACAACATGCCCTTTACTCGGAGACGTTCCACCCAAAAATGCGTTTCTGCGCAGATTTGCGAGGGGTCTCTCCGACACCCCCTGAGGCATGTACTTCGTCTGAGACCTGGAGTTCTCAAGCTTAGAGGTCTAAACGGGTTGCGGGTCGGCCAGAACCGCCCACCGCGATTCGCGGCTCGGAGTATCAAAGCTCGGTCGACGATCGAGCTCCGGGTCGGGTGAAGGCAACGATTCGAATTGGGCCGATCGAGTTGTAACTCGGAAAAGTGAACCCGTGCACGCCTCTGACGCGCAGAAAGACAGGAGGAAGCAACAAAGTCCGCATCGGAATTTTCGGACTTTTTACCAATAGGTATCGACTTCAGATCCTAAGATTTGGATTGACACCTCACTCATGAAGAGCCGTTCATTCATCCAGGAGTTTCCCAGAATGACAGATTAGCCTCTTAAGTACATTGATGTGGATGAAATCTGATGGGGAGTACAGGAAAACGTAATTTCAGGAAAGCCGGTGAATCCCTTTGAAATGGCATATTAGTGAACTTAACTGGTGAGTATGAATCCGTTAATATGGCCAGTAATCACTTCCCTCACTTCCTCAAAGAGGCGACCTTTTCAACTGTGGACAAGAATACAGACTTTCCCTCAATTTCTCTCTGCAAAAAGAGATAACAATAGAAATAGGAGTCTCCCTAGATCTCAGTCATAGTGTGTACATAATTTAGCTCGTTGTACAAGGTGGATCGCACATTCTCTACTACAACTATCCCCTTCTCTTTTTTCCGAAGAACTAGAGTTTGAAATTCTGAAAGAAGTGCCACTGGCCGCGCGATCGCGAACTCCGACGCTTGAAACTCCAGTGAGATCGTGATGGCTTCCGTAAACGTGGCCGTGATTAGGGTCTTCGTCATGCTTGGCCAATGTCTGCTTCTAGTATTCGCTCAGTCTGCACCCAGTCAGAAGAACGGTATTTGTGACGTGAAAGATGGAAAACTTCTATGCCTAAACGTGACGCATCTTCCGAAGCAATTGCCAAACGACATTGATTACATCCACGTGGTGGACTCAAATCTTGACCGTCTGAAGCATGAAGACCTGAATTCGACCTCAGTGGAAACTTTGAAGTTTGAGCGAAATGTGATCGGGGAGCTGAGAGAGGGAGCGTTCCGACTCCTCCCCAACCTCAAGTCCCTTCACATGTCTGATAACAGCATCCACGCCAATCTCACTTGGTGCCTGTTCTTTGGCCTCGACAACCTCACCAGCCTCGACTTGAAAGACAATCGGTTCAACATGGAATCTTTTTCCAAGTTACTGACACTCAAGAAAACCGCAGCTCCCGTGCAATACTCCAAAGATTTCTGTAGGTGTGAAACGACTGCAGATGAACGCATTTCGTCCCCTTGTGAGGAACTGACAGTCCTTCCGAAACTGCAATATCTGAGACTGAGCTGTAATCCATTCATCATCCTGCCAAGTGACATATTTTTGCCTCTTCGACAAAGTCCGGTCGTATCGCTTTCCCTAAGAACGTGTCAGCTGCTCTACATCGATAAAGGTGAGGTGACAGTTTCAATTCTTGACCGGAACATTGCTGTCCTAGAATATTACACTACGTTCATGACACTAAGCGTCATTAATTTTTTTCCTAGACACATGGGCTCCTCTGCAACACCTCCAAAAAGTATACCTTAAGAACAAGAAGGACTCCAAGATAGATGAACTGGCCCGAAATATCGCCAATATGAACCCAAGGACCGACATATCTCTGGATCTGTCCCTGAACTCCCTGCAGGGTGTACCGACGGCCGTCCTGGCCCCATTGAACTCCACGCTGGTGGAGCTCATCCTCACCGGCAACAACTTCCGCATCATTCGGAGGAGTTCCTTCCCTCGGCTGCAAGCCTTAGAATATCTGAACCTCGTGGCATGTGGGATCGGGAAGATCGAAGAAGGCGCCTTCGCTGCACTCCCCAACCTCAAGTACCTCGACCTCTCGCAAAATCGACTTAGAAAGGTAAGCAACAGTTTTTATGAATTACCTCATGTAAACCTTGGGACGAACCCTGCCTGTCTCAAGAGCAAAGTATCTATCGAAAATTAGTGTCCAAAGGCATATCTAGTCCTTTGAAGTCATTCGTTCCTAATATCGCTGCTCTAAACATTCTGCAGGGTTCTCCGTTTTCGACGTTGATATTGACGCTAGCATCTTATGAGCTTTCCAATCAGAAATGTCAAAAGAAAAGCATGGAAAGTGCAAGCGTGTCTTCTTGACCCAAAACGAGAATGCCATTCGGATATTTGCCTCGATTTGGCTATACAGATCTTGAATTTCATGGAGTAGCCTATCGGACTAAGTTACATATTGGTATTTATTTTCTAATATATTAATCTTTTCAACGTATCCGAAAGATTTAGTGATGTGAAACTTCTCCGGGTGTCTGTTTTTGGGTATTCTTTTGAGGGAAAAGGAGGGAAATTTCAAGTTCGAAATAATTAAATTTGTAGTATCACTGGAAAAGTTCAATATTTCACTCAGAATTCACGTCTTTATTAAGAACATGTTCTTTCTGAAATAAATTATCCTGTGCCGATTTTTTTCCCTTATTACGATTTGAGTGGCGATGACAATATCGGTTACAGGTGCACCAGGCGATCATGCTGCCAACCCTCATCTCCTTGAGACTGGACCAGAATCCGTTCGACGAAGCCTCTTGGAGATGGCGGCGACTCCACGGCAACGAAGACGATGACGACGACTATGACTACTACGACGATGGATTCTTCATTCCAAGCATTGAGAAGATGAACCTACTACGCTCCCTCTCCTTCTCCAGGACCCACTTCAAAAGGCGGAAAATCACCGAAAACATGTTTGCCGGTTCGGTCAGTTTTAAAGTCTCTACCGTTTTCGACTTCCCCAAATTAGGTCAGGAAGGATCTGCAGAATTTAAGATATTTCAAGCTAAGAGTAGGAATGAGGAACCCTCATGCACGACATCATTGTGAAGCAATGGACTTTCTTCGTTGTATTATAACACACACATTTAGGCCGAGGAATCTTCGAAAGGTGGCACCACGGTGTGGATTCTGGATTCGCATCCTTAACATATGTTCTTACTTGATGAATTTGGAATGTGCTTCATGTGTAAGACACAGTCGATTTTCATATGCTTCACATCTGCATCCTACTCCTGTCACGTACTCTCTCATTTTCCCACACCTGGATCACATGCATCGCTGCTCTCTCCTAGAGTCCCACATGAAGGAATTGCTTTGACACTCCAGTAAAACATAGGAGAAGCATGTCTGCCTCACAGGGAGTGCATACACGTGTCTCAAGTATCCTCGTATATCAGTAAAGCATTAAGGGCTGACACTTCTCTCCTCAATCCATAGTCAATATGTAGTAAAGTAGTAAATATGTCAGGCCTCTCAGGCAACACTATTGCCTTATCGTGAAAAAGTTCCGCTTGAATATTATCAGCTTTACGCTAGTGTTAAATTAAGTTGTTGACCATACCTCTTTCTACAGAGCCAGAAAGATACTTCATTACAAGGAGACAGAATACTCCGCTCACAACGCAATTGATTTCTGATCACGGGAAAAGTGGCAAATGAAGTTGAATTAATAAAAGTTCCCATACCATAACTTCGGTCAGTCCAACTAACTCGTGAATGAGATGATAACTTTCTTCATAAATAGCAATAATTATTGTTCATATCCTCACCAAATAATAAAAGCAACTTCGTTTGGTGCTGGAAAATGAGTTTTTGTTCTAAAAACAAGTTTTTAAGCTTAAATTCGGAGAAAGACTCGGAATTATTATGTACGTTTAACTGCTTTCATTCCATCCGTGACCGAGATCGTTCTCGAAATATTGCGAGAAAAGGATTATTTCCAAGGAATAGAAACTACACATCAAAAGCAAAAATCAATCAGCTCTTGTGTCTTCCACCAATTACGAAAAACGTGCTTATTTTTAAAGCTGTTATTGAAATTAGATTATTTGGAAAGTTTTCTCCATTATTATTCATCTCATGCACTTGAAACTCTAATTCATTTAATAATATACTAGCACGAGCTCGCGTACCATATTTAATCCAGATCATTCTTCTCCTTCTTGGTCGTGCTTCTCTTTTTTGCTGATGAGTACGTATCAATGAAACTATTTTGCCCTGGCACTTCAGGTCTGAAGGAGCTGAGAAAAATGGAACTCAACAAGTGCCATTTGAGATCGATCGAAGCTGGAGCCTTCTCCGCCCTGCAATACCTGCAGCATCTCGACCTGTCCGGCAATCAACTAGAGATAGACAACGACGAGGTTTTCTCGGGGCTCACCTCCATGTCCTCCCTCCTCCTGCACGACAACCGGATTAGCTTCAAAGGTGCTAAGTCGCCCTTCAAGACCCTGGGAAGCCTTCTGCGCCTGCAGTTGAATAAGAACTTCATCACCCACTTGACCAACGATTTATTTTTGGGGTTGGACAACTTGGAGACTTTGATCCTGAGAGACAACAATATTCGATATTGGAATTGGCCGGTTCTTGGAGCCACAAGGAATCTGTATTCCCTGAGATTGAGCCGAAATGAATTGATGGAAGTCACCGAGGCCATGCTGACCGACTTTGCCATTTTAAGGAAGTTGGATATCTCTGAAAACCCTTTCAAGTGTAACTGTGAGCTACATATTTTCCACAGGTAAGTTTTCTAAAAGTAAGTCTTGGAAACTCTGCGTTAGGAATCACAGTAATTTTTTGCGCTCCCGATTTTCGACACATGTTTCGTCCCCGGAACATGGTTCAATTCCTTAATGTCATCAAATGATTCATTGTTCCTGATATTAAACAATTTTTGCTTTCGTTTCTACCTGCCTTAACGCATACTTCCATACTAAAAGGCAACGACTTGATCTTTTAAATATTGCCAAATAACCTGAAGGTTCTTGAAATTCTCGCAGGTGGGCCGTGAAGCACCAAGGAATACTGCAGGGGTGGCGCAAGGAAGAGGCGTACATGTGCTGGACTAAGAACAGGAGCCAGTATTCCCTGCTGTTCGAAGAGAACGAGATCTTCCGGGACTGCCCGCTAGGTCTGGATGCGCGGGAGCAGAAACCGTTGTTCGAGAGACCCCATGCGATATGCTTGGCCGTCGGCATATCCGTCCTTGTCGTCGTCGTCTTCATCGTTGGGTGTTTCGCCTGTCGGAGGGGGCGGCGCAAGGTGCCTCGGGGCAAGGATTACAGTGGTCTCAAGAAGGCGCTGGCATGATCTACGTCACAGAAGTCATTCGAGACGGTCCATTTGGTTCTTTCTATTTTCCCTCTTTTGTTGTACCATTATTTCGATATAAAATTTCATCTGCATCTCGCATTCTATAGTTTGCTAAAAAAAAATGGAGTTCATAGGGAAGGAAAAGTAATTGAGCATCTCAATGCATACATCAGGAAAGAAACCTGACCCGATTATAACAGCAATGTTCTGATATTTCATGCATTTTCTAAGAAAGCATTTGCAAAACTTTCAAGTTTCATAGGGGGACGTGACGGAAACATTAAGGACTTCGACCCAAGTCTTGTGTCATTTTTTGGTCAGCAAATGAGAGACGAACATAGCAGCCGCTACCTGCGTTGACAGTTCTTTGTAAGGATATTGAATTTGATGGAAAGAGTCTGGAATGTCTTTCGCTATCCTCAAAGAATCCTACATTGTTGCAGTTTCATTCCTGTTTGACTTTGTCATCGCTATGTTCAACGAAAGTCTTTTGTGAAGTCTATCATATACAGGCAACGGTCGATATAACGAACCTGTATTTAATGAGTTTTCCTTATAAGGATATTTTTAGTCTGTCCCTTCGAGCTTGTTACATCGAGCGGCAAAATCCAGATCTAGAGACACACTCGTTAATGTCGATTTCCTCGAAACTCAACCGTTGCCTTTCACGTGGTTATTCCATAAGTTCAGAATGAAATAAAACGAGCGCATTTACATCTCCTAGATCAGGGGTGCGAAACATATACGGCCCGCGAAGGTGGTTCATCCGGCTCTCCGTTTGTTCCTCCCCTAACCTGGAGGAAACGTTGAAGGCGCCATCATCCCTCCTTCACCACTGGGAATTACACGATGGCGTCCTCTGGCTGACCAGGGCTGCCGATATTCGAATAGTTCACCATTCGAATAGTGAGGGATCGTTGACAACCCGCAGCAGTCACTTAGGCACACCAGACTTCATTCGCTTGCCTGCCTTCGAGCAGCATCAGCGGTGGCGGTAGCGTTAAAGGGAGCCACGCGAGATGTGGAACCACACAGCTGCCATTGCGACTGCAGTGCTGCTACGTGCTAGTCGATTCATGAATGAGTGCATATGAACCAACTGCTGAGTAATTAGTGTCACGTGCATTCTGTTGCCTCATGAACCACTTTTGCTACCAGAGCAATATAATTATTTTAATTTTAAAGTCAGTTTATATCCTATTATCAGGTCTGAGGACTCGTTGAAAGAAATGTTTATGCCTCCACAGATTTAAAGGCGGGTAAATTCAGACAACTGCATTTAAAGAGCAAGAATTACATGTGGTGGGTTCCAATGGTGGAACGGTGGAAACTGTGAATAACAAATTTCGGGGAAACAATATGGGTGCGGCCCGCAAACATCTCCAATACATTGATCAATATGCTTATTTCATCTTGCGGCACGCAAAGCCAATAAATTTCACCATCACCGTTCCAGAAGATCTTTTTTGCTTTGGAGTCAGTGGCATCCGACAAGGGCAAGACGAAGCGGAAACTGTTCAACAACTTTTTTTTTTTCTTCAAAGAAATAGATGCGTTTCTCTGGAAAAATCGAAGACAAATTGTTCTTGTGGTTGTTTGTGTTGGGAAACCTGCATTGTTCCTCGGGAATGCTTTCAATTAGAGATTCGATCAACTTTTATTCGATGCCGAGAGATGCGAGATTCTGAGCTTCATTTCCGGGTTACTTCCATACCGTTACGATTCTATCTGTTTGGCTATTTTTTCCTCATTTGCGATTCAATTGAAAATCGGGTCTTGACAACCCGACACGAATGGGATATTAAACTATTTCGTCCTTCTGACGTACATGAGATAAAGTTGGGATTTCCCCCAGCTTTACGTGGCGATAAAAAAATAAATTATCCGTGAAGCTGACCTTGATAACAGTTATTTCTAGTGCCTCGTGCAACTTATCCACTTTCTTTCTAACTGGAATCTGACATTCAATTTCGGAAGATCTATTGACCTTTGTGCCCGAAGACTTGCTCCCGTTAGGCTTGAGGAAGTCGGTGATGAAGTGCTTTCCATGCGAATGCATATTGGTGCTCCTCGGGAAAGTCTTCTTGAGCGCTGTCGCTCAGTCGCCACCTCGTCAGGAACACGGTGGCTGCGCACTCCAAGGCATTATTGACTTTAAAAAACTCGTATGCAAAGGCGTGACTCACCTGCCCAAACCGATACCGGATGGCATTTCTTTCATCCACGTGATGGACTCGAATTTTGATCGCCTGGGGCAGGAAGATTTGAGGTCAGCCTCAGTCAAAACTGTAAGGTTCGAGCGGAATATTATCGGGGAACTGAGCGAAGGGGCATTCCGACTCCTTCCCAATACCACGATTCTTCACATGTCCAAGAACGTCATCCATTCCAATCTCACATGGTGCACGTTCCTCGGCCTTGAGAGACTTTCCTATCTCCATCTGGAGGATAATCAATTGGATATGGAATCCTTTTTCAACATCATCGAATTTGAGAACGGAGCGAGCGGAATGCAGAAATCGGGAGATTTCTGTCGGTGTCGAACGACAGTCGACGAATACTTCTCTTCTGATTTGTCTCCCTGTGAGCATCTGATGGTCCTGCCGGAGTTGCATGTACTGAGACTCAGCGGCAATCCCTTCAGAATTCTCCCTGGTGACATATTTTTGCCACTTCGGCAGAGTCCACTCTTGAATCTGTTCCTTGATAAGTGTCAGCTGTCGCACGTCGATGAAGGTGAGGCGATGTAGAGTCCATTCCATCCAATAGCATAGACGCTCTGGAAGTTCTTAGTGCCTTGATGAAAAACGGCGCCATTCCTTCTTTTCCAGGGACATTTTCCCCTCTGAAACTCCTCCAAAAATTAAGTTTGAGAGGAAATCCCGATCTGTGCATGGAAAACCTGGCCCGAGCTACTGCTAACATCGGCTCTCTTTCCAATGCATCTCTCGATTTGTCTCTGAACGAACTGCAAGAGATACCGACGGACGTGCTTGCATCATTAAATTCCACCTTAATGCAGCTCTTTCTACGCGGGTGCAACGTAGGAGAGATTCGTAACGGATCGTTCCCTCTGCTTCCAGTCTTGGACGTTCTCGACCTTTCGTTGTGTCGAATAAGGGCGATTGGAGCGGGCACATTCGATGCCCTCCCTCATCTTCGCACTCTCGACCTGTCCCAAAATAAACTTACGGGGGTTAGTAACTTCATGGAAATGAATCATTTCTGGATCATGTAACAACCCGGGAATACGGCATAGAGATTGTCAATCGTATAATAGATATAATGAGAAGAACCTTGAATGTAAAAGGTAGAATTTAGAATATTACTGAATTGCTTTTTTCTTATTGCTGAACGTAAGGGGGTCACACGTGTTCAAAGATTTGCACGCTGCAATCATGCGAGGACTGATACAAAAGTTCAATAACTGGATATGGAATGTTCTTATTCTTTGATGTACTGATGATTCCTAATTTATGTTTAGTCTTTGAGAAAAATGGTTAAAAAACGTTGTTCTTTGGTTATCATTGAGTTTTAATACTTTTACGGGTTGAACTCTTTAGAATGGGCATAGTTCCATCAAATTGTTTGGGGTAAGCCCTCGTGATGTTTCACTTACAAGGGACGCTACCCAAGTGATAATTTAAGATTTTCACCAAATTTGGTCATTGAAAGTACTTTCAAAACGAAGTCGAACGGCACCAAAAATTGCAGCAAAGAAACAGGTTTGGGCTCATAACTGGCTCTCTCAATTTTCAGTGATACAGGATTATTGTTAAGTCACCGTCCTATTTTCATTGGCTATATCACTTCAAGGGAAAGTCAGATTCAGGTAGTATTAGACAGAGAGGTTCATGAGCCAGGGAGGTTTTATTCTCATGCCGCAAGATGGCGCTGCATGCTGATAGAGGGAGCTGATGTTGACCGCAGCGCCACCTATGTACTTCTTGTCGTTTTAAGGCGCGGGAACAAATATGTTTAAGCGTATGAATCTCTCTGTCAAATATCAGCAGCATCCAAGAGTTCTTTCAAAAGATATGGTCAAAGTTGGATTTTGACTAGTGACAATTGAATTTCGTTTGGTCATTACTTATAAAGAAATAGTCAGATGCAGCTAATGTTTGACAGAGATGGTCTTGTCCCTATGACCTATTTGTTCCCTTGTCCGGCACATGTCCTTACATATTGACAGAGGGCGCAGTGATTCCATATACGAAGGTGAAATGTGAAGGATTACGAGGGCTCTGCTTACATCTTGGTAACAGCATACCTACGTGAGACATTAATGCACTAAGAGTTTCACCATCACCTCGTGGGAATGATGCGAATGCTAGGCGTATTCCTTTTATGTTGCCAATTCATATTCTCCGTCTCTTACTTTTGCTTATGCCACCACAGCGCCACATGTCAACATGTAGAACCATGTGCCGGGTAAGGGAGCGAATAGGTCATAGACATAAGAACATCTCCGTCAAACATAATCTGCATCGATATTTCTTTTAAAAGTTATGACCAAACCAAGTTCAATTGTTACAAGTCAAAATCCAAATTAGTTTTACCATATCTTTTGGATGCTGCTGAAATCTGGCAGAGATTCATAGGCTGGAACTGATTTTTCCCCTTCCTAAAAAATGGAATAGGAAGTTTATAGGTGGCGCTGCGATCGACATCAGCGCCCTCCATCTACATGCAGCGCCATATTGCTGCATCGGAATAAAACTTCCTTTACTCATGATTCTATGTAACATATAACCTGAATCTGACTTTCACTTAAAAAGTATAGCCAATGAAAATAGGGCGGTGACTTAATAATAATCCTGTCACTGAAAATTGAGAGAGCCGCTTATGAGCCTAAATCTGTTTTTTGCTGCAAGTTTTGGTGCCGTTTGACTTCGATTTGAGAGTTCTTTTCAATGACCTAAGTTTGGTGAAAATCTTAAGTTATCACTTGGGTAGAATCCCTTGTTAGTTTTAAGATACTGTATCGGAAAGAAACAGCGACGAATTGTTTTTGGGGTGGAACTTTCTCGTATCGTCTTCATTCTACCAATGATGGGTTGCAGGTGCCTAAGGCTATAATGCTGTCGACGCTGGTCAGCCTGGTACTGAATGAGAATCCGTATTACGGATACTTCGAGATGCTTCAGGAACACGGCGACGACGATCGCGGGTACGACGACGGCTTCTTCGTGCCGCCATTTGAGAACATGGACAATCTCCTCGCCCTCTCTCTCTCCGGGACGGCTATCAGAATGCAGAAAATCACCAAATACATGTTTGCTGGTCCTGTCTCTCTTACGAACTCTCAACGATTTTAGAACAATTCAGGTTATAGGGAAAGGTAAGCCATAGCTACACTCATAACTAAGGGCTGGAATGAGAAGCCGAGGCTAATGATCACTCTGAGGTAAGTATTGAATAGCTTGGTCCACAGCTAATCCCCCCTCCCCCAATGGAAGGAAGAATACTTGATAAATGATTGCACACTGAGTCGTGGATACGACTGCTCAAAAAATATCAAAAGCAAGGACATAATGTGGCTAGACCATTAAAGAACCTTAAAAAGTAATAGTATTAAGGGATTTCATACTTGCATATTGTAATAGATACTCTCACTTGATGGCGCCTCTAACCGATGCTGAGCCTTCGCCATGCATCACAGGATGCTTGGCCTTAAAAATTTGAGTGACTATCAGGTGATGCATATCTGAGCAGACTTAATAGAATCTTTTTCGCCGGCCGAGAACGAGAACGGAGGAAGGCGACATTAAATTTCTCTTAAATGCATTTGAAAACCATTTCAGTGAGACGTTAAACGTTAGGCTTATCTGGAATTCCTCAAACCATCTCGAATAAGTTTGAGGAGAGAATGCCATCAAGAAGCATGCATTCTATGGTACAAGCCATACTGTTAATTCAGGGATGTCCGGATAAGATATTTGAATATCCCAACAAATCGATCAAAAACTCCTAACCACTGCTTCATTCTCAGCTCATCTTAGGAAATCAGCACATAAATGTATCATACAATAAAAAAAAAACAGAAGATCCAGACCGGAGCAAGCACTCTAAGTCTAATTGAATGACAGCTAATTTATTTTTTTAAATTGCGAAATGGAGCATCGCAAACAGCAAAGGAAGCCACTTTTCGTCATCAACGAGTCGATATCTTTCTCATGGTTGGTCTCTTTCCTCCGAGAACCCCCCAGTAGTGGCTTCCCGGGGGGGAGAACAAAAAACAAAAAAAAACCGAATGAAATTCACATCTTCCAAAAACGAGATTCAGTGTTCCCGGGGAGATGGAACTTCAAATTTGCTGGAACGATTATGTGGTGGGAGAGAAAGAAGTATGCGAAAATTCGTTCCTGTTCATGCTTTCATGGGAGAGGAATACGTGGAGATTGAATTTTGTTGTTGGAAGGGGTTGAAGAAAGGTAATAGTCGCTACCGCGCCTAGTGATGTTCCAGGATTTCATACTAGTATAGCTTCAGATCATGATTCAGGAAGTAAATAAATGTTTCACTGAAGGGCATTGATAAATAATACAATGAAAATTAGGAATATTCTGTGCATACTATCAAATACCACCTACTATAACTGGAGCAGTTCAGAAGTTAATTTAAGAAGAATGTTTTGTCCTTGCCCATGTAGGTCTGAAGGCACTAATGAGACTGGACCTCAATGACTGCAACTTGTATTCGATCGAGACAGGAGCCTTTTCTGCCCTGGAATCCCTGGAGATTTTAGACATGTCTGGGAATCAGCTGGAGATCGAGAACGACGGCGAATTCTTGGGTCTTACCGAACTCAAAGCATTATTCCTTCACGACAACCACATCAGCTCTCAAGGCGCTACTTCCCCGTTTAAAACGTTGAGAAACCTCACCGTTTTGAAATTAAACAGGAACTCCATGACCCACCTCACAGAAGATTTCTTTGCGGAAATGGAGACGATGGAGACGCTGATCCTGTCGGAGAACGATATCGAACAGTGGAATTCGCCAGTTCTCGGAGCCACGAAGAATATGCATAACTTGCGGTTGGATCGCAATAAATTGGTGGCGGTGACCGAGGCCATGCTGACAGATTTCGCAAATTTAGCGACCCTGGATCTCTCGGGAAATCCTTTCAAGTGCGACTGCGGGCTCTATCATTTCTACAGGTCAGTTTTCTGAGAAAATCAGTTGGGAACTCTAGGTTACCGGCGCCTTCGTCGGGGCTGAAATAGTCGTAGACCGCTAGTAGTGGGCATGACATCGCATACATCTTCAGTCAAAGTACGACAGTACTTGACTCGTACAGTTTCGTCGCAGACACCGATGGTTCCAGTTTCCTTGTCGCGATGTCGATATAGGGCGGGATGATATCATAGTAACATGTCTAAATTTAACGAAGACGACAGCGGACTCTCTAAATAAGTGCTCTAAAATACATCAGTCATCAACAGTAAATCGCAAGTTATTAAAGAAGTCATAAATCAACATATTGAGCCGCTCTTTTACCAATGCCGCACACTATTATCTATACGGCTCTGTTTTTTACACCCAGTCAGCAATAGCTTTGTTTTGACTACAGCCTTTCCTGGGAAATGGCTTTCCTGGGATTCAGGTCCTTAATTATCGAGATGTCATGCTTCCCACGAGAATCTGGCTCAACTGTCTTGTCACTAATTCCAGAGTAGACAGGTTATCTCGGTGGGGAATCTCCCTGTTCCGACTGAGTGACATTTCCTGGATGTCCATTCATTGGTGGAGATGTATTTAATAAACGGGAGTCCACGCTGGCTACACCTCTCAGTGGAGAAGACCAGCAAGATGGTGGATGATGAATCCGGTACAAAACCATTATCCCCATATGCCTAGTGAAATTTCCATCCACTTCACTTCTTTACTTCTTTAGGTCTTTCTTCAGCAACTTGAGTTTGCTTTGAAGTTCAGTAGGAATTTCAGTCTAATCCCATATTTCTCGAGTTCTTTGGCAGTAAGAATGTATGCTTTGCTATTCCGTTGCGTACCATTAAGCTTGCTTTGAAATTAAGATCGCGAAATATCAATAGAAGCAGCAGAGTTTGCACATCTCCGCACTTCAAACAGTACGAACAATCGTGGTGCAAACGAAAAAAAGGACGCGAGCAGAAGTAAGAGTTCAGCAAGCGTGTCAAATGATGCTTATCCGACTAATGCGTTTCGACTGAGATCTCAACGTTTTCATGCAACTTTAGCTCATTCGATCTTCGCGGTCATTTTTGAGCTATGCATCTCATGATCAAAATGATCCGTACGAAACTCATCAGGACTTCCAAGAACTTGCAAAAGTTTTCACTAACCTTTAGTCAGATTGCACTTGTGCATGAAAAATCCACGTTGGCCAAGTGTGGACTAAGTGTGGAAGACCATCCTGAGCCACAGATAGTCTAACCACTGAGAAGTCACGGAAAATCCACAGCTACCGCAGATACGACGAACTATGGGTACACATACAGTGCTGACTGAGCATTGTTCTGCTTCCTTCTTGCCTCTTTACATTGAAAAGTTACCCTTACTCACGTTGTATTCCATCCTTATCCATCAACATTTCTCAATAGAGGTTCGCAAAATATATTACCCTCCCTTCCCCCCTCCCCCAATTGATAGGAATCAGGAATTCAGGAACCCTTTCCCTTTCTTTGAATATTTTCACTTTGCTTTTACCAGTGTCTGCGAGCTGTTGACTCGCCGTGCGTGTACGACGATCTGTGTCTGCGGCGCAATAATGCAAGGACGAAACGAGTAAGCCGCGACCTAAGCGCTCTTCACGGCAACTCTGCAGGCGGAATTCCGGCTACTTTGAGTGGTCTCGATTTTTGACCCAGCATCATTCGGAAAGTGCTAAATCACCAATACTATGCGATAAAATGGCAAAAGGTTAATTTTGTTTGACTTAATAAAAATAAAAAATATTAAGAAAGAAATACATTAAAATATATAAATAAATCAAAATAAATTAATAAAGAAATAAAAGTAAATTAATAAACCAATAATTTATTCAACCGTTCTAAATGAAATTGAAACGTCAATGACCACAAAAATACGAATTCCAAAAGATCCCTTACGGAAATGTCCTATAGGAAACCTTTAGCTATTTCTTATAGGAAACCTATAGACTTTCCTATAGGTTTTTGAAACACGAAAAACCTATAGGATCCTTTAGAATCCTATAGGATCCTATAGGGTCTTATAGGTCTCCTTACCTATAGGACCCGGGGAGGATATTTTGGGTTTCGAAATCCAGGCATTACGACGGAAAAGGCAACCGGGGTTAATATTGGCACAGCATTTCGGTGTAAATAAAAAACCGATTAGGGGTTTTTCCATGGTAGGGGGACGTGCATTATTAATACCAGTACTGCGGGGGTCTGCATAAAATGTCGCTGGATTCCACGTACACTTCCTTCGGTAGAGAGAATTAGTATTCTTTTCTCGACCAAAGGAAATATAAGACAGAACCTTCGAGCACGTCTCTTTACTGAAACTCCATTTGAATAGAGTCCACTCGTTTTCGTACGTGGTTTTCAAAAGGAATAAGGGCATAATTCTTCACGGGACTCAATGATTCTATGTGGAAGATGGGGATGCCAAAGAAGGAACTGTTGAAGTTAATTGATTGCTACAATGAGGCAAGGCGAGACGTTTAGGGACGTACAAAACTCTCTTGTGAGAGGTGATTCCTTGGGTAAGGGGAGGGCACTTTTGTGCCCTTTGAGAAATGTGAGAACCCAATACTTCCATCTAGTGGCCTAGAGGAGAACTTCAAAGGGAACCCTATAGGCCTATAGGGTTCCGTATAAGTCCTATAGGGAATCCTATAGGTCCTATAGGACCAATAGGGAACCCTATAGGTCATATAGGGAACCCTATAGGTCCTACAGGGAACCCTACAGGTTTTATAGGGAACCTTACGGGTCCTTTACAGAGCCCTTTGGGTCCTATAGGGAACCTATAGGCCTTATGAGGAACCCTATTGGTTCTATAGGGGGCTCTATAAGTTCTATAGGGAACTCTATAGGTTCTATAGGGGACTCTATAGGTCCCGAACTGAACTCTATGGGGCATAGAGGATCCTATAGGATTCCTTTAAGTTCCTATAGGATTCCTTTAGGTTCCTATAGGATTCTTATAGGAACATATAGGAATCCTATAAGACATTTTCGTAAGGGATATCACATGAATTCGGCTGGCCTCAAGGTCGCGCATTATGATACATTGTACGGGGACTCCTTAGTCTCTCCAGGACTAGTTAAGTCGTCTGGCAGAACACCTCAATGTGGAAGCAGATGAGATCCGCGAATTGTGTCAAACACTTCATAAGTACTCGAAACCCGCACAGATGGGCCTCGGAAAACCAGGAGAAACTGGAAGGATGGCTCGAGGAAGGAGCCTACACGTGCTGGGCCAACAACAGCACACAATATTCCTTCTTGCTCGACGGGGACGAGATCTTCCGGGATTGCGTTCGTAGTGGGGACACGAACGACCAGGCACCAACCGCCACGAAGGCTGGCCTGATCATCGCCCTCTCTGTCCTCGTCGTCCACGTATCGATTGTTGGGTGATTCGTTACCCGGAGAAGTGTGAAGCGTCTTGGGGCAATGATAGTGGAGAGGTGTCCTAATAATCTTCCTCAAGCAGTGCACAGAACCGATCCGCGACGGGCTGGAATATTTGTGATTTTCAATGATATCAGTTACCCCACTCGCTTTAATGCTTGTGAATCTTCACCTACCATCACATCAATACCTAAAGTAAATTTCAATTCAGCAATAAAATTCAGCAAAAAGCAATGGATACATTGCTTGATGGATACATTGATACAAAGCAATGGATACAACGACTGATGCTTATTTCATGGAATAGAACAAAAATGGTTGAGGCCCTGAAAACCTGCATCCAGGAGATGCGAATAAAAATTCTTGGGACTGTCTTCAACAGCCACACACACTTCCACAGCAGAGCTTCCCGACGACACCACCTGCCGGAGCTGCCACTGACGTCGGGAAGTCCACCAGAGACATCTACCATGAGCAGCTACTATGTTTTCGGATTTAATTGGTAGCCCCCAATTGTGAAGAAGAGAGATAAGCCAACATTTCCAGATGATCCGCTAGATGTCAAGCCTGCTGGTCCGAAAGGTTGTTGGATGGTCGGTGATAATTGCGATTTTTGGATTTTGGAAGAGGTCATAAAGAAAGAGATAATACTATAATATCTGGGAAACATAAAAAATGAAATAAAAATACTAGTTGCAGGTAAACATGTTGCAAACCGGAGGAAACCCATTGTTCTATTGCGGAAGGAGTCACGAAGATCTTCAGATACTGCCACCCAAGTCGCACCCGATCGTTTAATGTACAGTGTGTTCATAAAAAACTACACTTTTGAAGTTCGATATCTCTGGAACGGTAAGGCATAGAACAGTGAAATTTTAGGGGGATACTCAGGGGATCATGGGATTTATTTGAGACTATTTTGAAATTTTGAAATTTATTTTTCCCCCCGTATTTGCACTCTTGGCAGTACTGAAACACTACTGAAAGTATTAATAATTTTCGGATATAGATAGGAAAGCCATGACTCCGACTAAGAAGCAGAGAGGCGAACTAATAAAGCTTTTCAACACCAACAAATGTAATGCTGTTCTCGCCTTGCGAAAATACCGCGCACCACACAGCCTGCGTTTGGGGCCCCGCTCGAGACAAGCTCTGATGAATTTGGTCGAAAAGTTCGAGGAGAAGAGTTGTGTTTGTAACAAGCCGCATGGAGGCAGGCCGCGAATCCCTGTAGATGTTGTCCTTGAAATCAGAGGTGCAGAAATCCGAATCAGAGTCAAATCAAATCTGAGTCCTTGAAATCAAAGATTCATATTCCTGGATGAGAGCCTGCACAGCCTCTCCATTACGCGGCGGTTCAAAGAAAAGTTAAAGGACAGGGGTCAGAGGAAGAAGTAAAAAAATTCATTTGACGGAGAAAATCAGCAGCTGAACTCATATACACTTTCAAAGGACTGAAAGTGATACAACCAACGATGCTCAAGCGCGTCATTCTGCAATTCAGGAATTCTGCGTTTTGAGAGATGGGCTCCTACGAGGAAACTGCAGTGATGGATCTATTTGCGAAGCCGTGTGAACGCAAGTGGCGACATTCTTCAGACCGAGGTTCCATCTGTGTTATATATGTTCGTGTGACCGGCGATTTGCATCTTGCTGGAGGCTTGGACGCATAAGCCTGCCAGGCCTGTGGGACGAACTGCTTGTAAACGATTGCAGCAAGGTTCCGGTGTCCAATATGGAGCTATGGAAACGATGACTGCTGCAATCAAGTAAAAAAAAAATGGAAACACATTATTTAAGCAGCAGTTGGAAAATGATATTGTATCTTTCATGCATGCAAAATATACCACAGTGGTTTAAAATGTGAATATAATTTTTTATCATTATAAAAGCCGTGATGAGAGCGCAATTTATTTCATGTTACAGCAGACACGATCAGATAGAATTTGTACGTCTCGGTGTTGCTAGTGTAGGGCGCCCACGGTGAACAAGCAAAGATTGGGGTTTTCCAAGGACACTCGCAGAAGAACATGCTGATGTTACTGTCGTCAATTCATACATGCATTTTTAATAGTGAAGTGACACCCACACTTTGTCATGGATCCAGCCAGTCTTCGTACTGTTTCCAATCAAAAGATGAATAAGAATACGATAATTTTTAACGTGTATTATTCAAGGGAGCCGAGAGCTATTTCCTTATATGAAGACATGCACACAATCTGCGATCAGCGCGCCTCAGTCAATACGTTTTGCAGCCACGCATCCTTAAGAATACGAAAGAACTGACATTTATTTATGACATTTATTTATTGAGCAACCCTTGTAATCCCACGCATGGTCGGATTGGGCGGATTTTCACCGTTGATGCTGACTGTGCTAAGCAAAGTTCTCATTAGAATGATCCAAATTTGTCACGAATTTTCAGAATAGAATTTAGAATAGAATTTATAATAAAAATTAGAATTTTCATTCATCATGAAACGAACATCGCTTGCGTTGGAAAAAAATCAGAAGGCATAATGCTTTTTCGCTCTTTCACATCATTACATTTACGGCCCTGCCAATTATATGATTTGGATGCTGGAATTTTATTAAGTGAAGAGCTCATGAATAAAGAATAAATTTTGTACTTCTTTTGGCTCATTGTGAATTTTACCACTTGGATGATAAATTAGATAAATTAGATACTTCTCCAATATTCTGTTTATGGGTTCTCTTTTGAAAAGTGGAATGAATATCATTTGCGAAGGAATTCAATTCCATGGGAGTGAAATTCGACTAGTTCCCAATGAGATCCCGTCATCAATAAGGAAATGCAGTCGGTAAAGCCAACATGTCTTTGACAGCGTTGTGTTCTCATGGCAGCGTTTTCTTGTGCTTTTGTAATATTTCCAAGCTTAGGTAGCAAGTACGTAAGATTGCGATGACAGGTAACGTGCGGCAGGTAACGTAATTAACAGAATTTCAACGTTGTTGGAGAAAATCTTCTGGAACAATATTGAGCCTTTGCCATTAACACACTACTTAAGACAATATATGTCACTATTCACTATTAGATACGCTAATTGTCCGGCAAAATGGTGATCGCAGGCTGCACTGATTGAGCGCAAAACCACTTGGAACTGAATCAGTCCATTTATTTCAAAACATCTGTGCGTTCTAAATGAATACTGCAGTGAGAGGAGCCGTCATCACAGTTGCCAGCTAGGTTGCACTAAACTCCAAGTGAAAAAGACGCTTGAGCATAATAGGAGTTGATCCAACAGGGCGAAAATCGGAATTCATCAAATTTGAACAAAGTGCAATACTACTTCATCATGAGAAAAACTAGTATGATATTTCGCATGGTTCCTACAAGGTATATGCCGAGTTCTTTATACTGTTTTTTGGCTGAATAGAAAAATATGTTGGCAGGAGATAGGAATATACGTAGATATTGACGAATTGAAGCAATTAGAGGGTTCCAAAGGAGATAGTATTTTAAGCAACAGTAAGTGTTTTCTCTTTTGTGAAATTGTGCGTAGGGATCGTTCTGGAATCACTATAGCCGCACAAACCCTTTTATCCCCAGTTTGGAGGTAGAAATATTTGGCACCACCCCCTCCGATAAGAAAAGTATCCGACGATGGAAACGAGGACGACAAGGACGGAAAAACCGATGGCCATCACGAAGCGTGCAAGGAGAGACGGCCCCTGGTCGAGTGCCATGACGCCGGTCTCGCAGTTCCGGAAGATCTCTTCTCCGTCGAGCAATAGAGAATAATAGGTGTTGTCCGTTTCCCAACAGGTGTAAGCCTCTTCATTGTGCCAGTGTTGAAGTTTTTCTTCGTTTTCCAAGGCCCACCTGCAGGTATTTCAAGCAGTTCTCTATCACTTTCTGCAATATGTTTTGGAAATTTCTAAGAAAAGTTTGTCGGCTTATTCATATGATAGAGAGAAGTTGGTTGGGAGGGCCCAAACGGGAGGGGAACCTCAATATGATCAACGCATTCTTATTCAAGAACGCTTAAATATATATACATTGAGGGAAAATATTCACGGTGTAATACAACGTCGTGGAAAATTGAAAAACCACCTCTATGCGTCCAGTTCATGTAAAGGTAGTTTAACACATTTTACTGGACGCTATATATTTTGAAAAAGAAGAGAACTTATAATGGTTACCATCTGTTAAGAGAAGTATTCGGATAAATTGTCAGGACTTAATAGGACTGACCTATAGAAATCATGGAGTTCGCAGTTGCACTTGAACGGGTTTCTCGAGAGATCCAGTTTTGCTAAATTTTCAAAGTCTTTCAGCATAGCCTTGGTGACTCGCATCAATTTATTCCGATCGAGCCACAAGGTATCCAGACTCCTCGTGGCTCCGAGAACCGGCGAATTCCAAGCTTGGATATAGTTGTCCGTCAGTATGAGAATCCTCAAGCTCTCCAGCCCCACCAATAGGTTTTCGTTCAAATGCGTGATGAGGTTCTCAGTCAATACAAGAACGATGAGATTGCTCATATTTGTGAAGGGCGACGTGGCTCCTGTGAAGCTGAGATCGTTGTCGTGAAGAAAGAGGGAGACGAGTGAGTTCAGACCCAAGAATATCCCGTCGCTTTCAATTTTCAAATGATTTTTGGATAGGCCAAGATATTCCAGCGATACAAGGGTGGAGAAAGATCCAGCCTCGATCGATTTTAGACCACATCCAGAAAGCTCCAGTCGTCTCAGCGTCTGCAGACCTGCAAGTGTAAATGTGGAATATCCTCCATGAAAGATTATATGGCCGTAACTGGTCTAATAATTGGTCTTCATAGGCTCGACCTAACATTTCCTTTGCCACGTAGCTCTCTCGGAATGGGATGAAGAAAGCCCAATTAGAACAAATTCATGATGTTTGCTATGTGCTAACCGCATGGATGCCTCCAGCCATTCGCACATTTCGTATATTGATTGATGGATGAAAGACGAGTTATATCCACACGTTTAAGGCATGACAACGAATCGTAAAAAAGACATGTGGTTTACTTGCATAGGTCAGAAAATAGTTATATTCCATATTTTGGATGCTTTTTTGCATTTGTTATCTCAGTGCTCACATTTTTCCTAGAATATGTTGCACTTGAGATTTTCAGTAAACTAGGGAGATGTTTTATTGTTTCGCGGTGACATGATTAGGTTATTTAGGATTAGCTTTATATTTCAAGTATTTCTCCCACTCATGACTGACTTGGCAATATTTTTGTTTTTCGAACTGTTTCCATAAATGGAAATAAAGTTCGACATTATTAAAAGAAAAGTACAGTCAATGTTCTCAAGGCAGCACACCACCCTGTGCCCCCATTAGAGGTGAGTGGAGGAGAGAGGGCCAACATCGCAGGCCCCACTTAGGTGCTACAGCGACAACCAACATATGTCCTATTTGTGAGCGAGTCATCTACCTTAGTTATTCGAAAAGTAGGGTTCCCATTAGTAAAGCAGGATGACCCAAAATAGCCCCTCATTCCTGTGGTATAAGGTTGCGTCTCGCTACAAGTTTCCAGTACTTCTCGTGCGGTTCTTGATCCTTTCCCGCAAAGACCAGAAGGGAAGGCTCTGGAACTTCTTCGAGTACTCAATATAAACAAGTAAGCATGTTAGAGAGACTTTTGGTAATTGCGGAAAGAGAATGGCTTAGCAAGGGGCTTGACATGACGGAGTGATTATGATTTACATGTCGACTCTTCGAATGTTGAGAATAGGTCAGCTATTCCTTACGGGATATGTGCATGTAGTTCTGGTGGTGGCAAAAAAAAATAAACCACTCAAAGGGTCTTCCCTGACAAGCATTTCCAAATCAGGAAAAGTACCAGAACCACGTTAACCAAATTTGAGCAGTTCATGTTGGCCCCATGTAGGGCCGCAGGACGGGCTTATGAGTGACAAACATTGATTTTTGACGTGGAGCCCACATTGCACAATGTGGAATTCATATGTAAGACTAATGTTGCCCCAACGTGGGTGTCCTGGTTAGGTCGTCGTCATAGACCTGACAATAATGCAGTCATCGTGTTATTCCCATTGAAAATAACATGACGCTATTGCATGCATCACACCATATTATCATCTACTGCACAATCGAGTGTCAGCTCAAGTGACAGACTTTCAGAACGTCTTGTAGAGTATGATAAACAAAAATTTGTCCCATTTAACACAGTATATGCAGGATTATTTATAAATATTCCAAAGGAGAGGTATATCCCATTCAAATAATTATGATTCACAATTACAACATTTGAGACGCATGTTATCAATGGATATATCGACTTTATGAATCGATTAGGCATACCTGTTGGAAAAAAAGTTGCAGAATCCTAAAGGCTCCTCTACCATATTTGAAATATATATTCGTAATTGGTTCCAATCTGATTTTTTAAAATGAGATTCCTTTTTCTCGCATGGGAAACTAAGAGGTTTCAATCATAATTCAAGTACTGGGTATCCCACATATCTCTAACACATGTGTCTTTTTAATTAATCAAGAATGGATAATGTATTCAACGTGAAAATTTGAGATAATTTTGGAAATTATGCTGAAACACTGAAAACATTGAGAGAAAAACATTTCAGGCAGTAATGAATAATGCTTTGGTTTGATTCATCAATCAGAATGGAGGGCATTTTGATGAATGTTATTAACCGAACAATAAGCAATGCTGTGTGAATCCTGAGTGTTTCAACATAATTTTCCAAGTTTCCATCACATTTTTCAAAAATTTCAAGTTGAATACATTAGCCATTCTTGATTAATTAAAAAAAAATAAGTCAAATATATGTTAGACACCCTGTATATGATTGAAAATTTTACCAAAGTGTTAGATGGGGTGGATGAAAGGATGGTCGAAGCCTCGGCGGTCGAAATTTTTGTCATTACCTAACCCTACCAGTTCCCCGGGCTAGAAATTAATGATAATATGGAGAAGGATATGGTTTTTGTCGTTATTGATCGAGCAACCTCGAGCAACCCCTTCACGGCTGTGAGAATAGCTGTTAAAAAAGGAAGACGCCAATCACTTAGAGGTAGAGGTGGAAATCCGAGTCACATGTTAGACGTGAATAGAAATTTACATGTTTTGGAGTATTTTGATGATTGGCATGGTGTTGGGCTCCCATAAGATGCAGGCCATATGGGAATGCAAGAGGTTGCCATGAACACGCTGAAATTCCACTGGAATTTCAAAACCATAGATCAAACCCATGAACGTAGTCGTGGCGATGTGCGCTTTGATGGTGCTCCGCGCTAGGGAGAGAGCTCTTAGGCTGTCCATGTTCTCAAAAGGCGGAATTTCAAAGCCGTCGTCGTAGCCGTCGTAGCTACCATGGGATCCGTGCCAGGTCTCGATCAATTCATAGGACGGATTATTGTCCAGTGTCAGGGAGATGAGAGTGGACAGCATCACCGACTTCGATACCTGCGGCCCATCGCAACAGACGAGAAATACAGTAAAGCAGTGTCGCCATACCAGAAGTATGTTATAGATTTCGATGGAACTAGGATATGATGTTCCTGATGTAAAAAAGAAGTTGTTCCACATCCATATTGTAGCACGACAACAGCCTAATATAATGCATGTAGCCGAACATTATTATTGAGCGACTGATGCTGATTCTAAGTATGTTCCAGATATGATGGAAAACCGAAACATACGTATTTCACGAGGTGTGGATTTCAGATAGGCCATACTTTTAAGGGTCTTTCAGGGAACTTTGGGTTCCGAAATTTTTTTTTCTCCAGCAAAATTATACGAAATATAAGTATTGTGCTGCTGAAAGTTCAGCGTGAACGAAAAAGTTCAAGGAAAACGTGTCCGCGCCAAATATATTATGCCTCCATTTCAAAAAAGGATCTCAAAATTGATTGTAGTTTTTTTTTTTTTTTTTTTTACAAAGAATGATGTAAGAAGGATGAATATCCTTCTGAACCTGCAGTTTCTCTTATCACGTGAAATTCCAGGTGGCCCTTTTCGTGGCGTATAACTTCTTGGGGATTTCAGTCCATATGTATTATTTATTTCTTTTTTTGGAGGAGGGAGGGCGGGAAGGAGGAAGTTTTCCCCTTTTAATTGAATTGAGAAAAGGAATACGAAGTCGATAAATATTTGCTAAAGGGGTTAAGCTATAAAGGAAAATTTTTCTCAGATAAAGCCTCTTGGGATTGACCCCTGTGTACCCGATTGGCCATTTGATATCCGTCTCGAGCAAATATACCTACTCTGCACGATATATAGGAATGAGTTTCATTTTGAATGTGCAAGATGGTGAGACAGTAGCATGTAACGTGACATACTGCACGTCTGCACAGGATGTAACACTACAGCACTTTCCAGACTCTCATTTCTGTACTCCCTGTTCACTTCTATCTACACCAGCCAAGACCAATTCGAAAGGGGGAGGAGGAACTGGGAAAAGAGCAGTCGAAGGTGAGGGGGAGGGGAGGTTACCGGGCCAAGTTCAAGGACTGAGGAAAGAAGTGTAGAACCGGAACGTTCCCCTTTAGTTCATACCTCGGGAAAGGTGGGGAGGGGGGGTATATAATACGAATGCGGATGGCGACAAAATTTGGTTTGGGGTGAGTATAACTGGGAACGGAGTCACAAATGGGTGATTCTAGACCCGTCCCTCGTCATGAATAATTTTTTTACTTCTCTAATTATTCACTTATTTATATTATTCGCAAATTAGCGACAAAATAAATTTCGCCGTTACGGGACTCACGAGATAGAACTTAACAATAGTTTGCTGACCTCTGTGAGTCGATTTTGAGAGAGGTCAAGATGGGTGAGTTTGGGAAGGGCATCGAAGGAGCCGACTTCGATCTCTCTTATACGACACATTGCGAGGTCGAGAATTTCCAAGACTGGTAGTTGAGGGAACGATCCTTTATGGATTGTTTCCAAGTTGCACCCCTTCAGATTGAGCTGTGTTAATGTAGAATTCAATGGTACCAGCACGTCCGACGGCACCTCTTTCAGGTCATTCAGGGACAAATCAAGAGATATATTGTGATGACAGTTGATGTTAGCCGTTGCTCGGGCCAGGTACTTCATCCCTAATTCTATGTTATTCTTCAAACTTAATTTTTGTAGGCGCTGCAAAGGGGCAAATGTGCCTGGAAAGAAGAAAAAAGTGTCATTTATCACCGTGGCAATGAGACTGTTCAGTGTCCGTGCATGAATAATATGTAATGGACAATACAAGATATGGCAAAACAATTCAAAGGCTTTTAACATACATTAATTCGCTTACACTGGAACTATTTTCGCGAAGTACTCACAATGAATGAATGAATGTTCTTCGAACTGATACTAACATTTTAGTCCAAAGTTGTTTGGCAGAAGGAAAACTATCAGCAATTACTGAAAAGAGGTTTGACATTGACAATGCACAAGAGCTCCTATTAGTAGTGGAGAAGAGGGCTGTCGAGCTTTCTCCTTCCTGGTCATCCAGACAATGTCGAACTTCTGTTTGTCATTCTTTCATTCAATAGCTCCAGTGTAATCGGAAATGTTTAAAATTCGTTGGTATTTGTTAAGCCATATCCTGAATATCGTCTCACCTTCATCGACGTATAACAGCTGACACTTTTCTAGGTGCAGAACCGAGACTGGACTTAGCCGAAGAGGCAAAAATATGTCACCAGGTAGGATTCCGATGGGATTGCGGCTAAGTATTAGAACATTCAATTTAGGCAGGACCGTCAGCTCTTCACAGGGAGAAAAATCCGACATATAGTCTTTTTCGAAAGTCACTTGACACTGACAGAGATCTCCTAATTTCCACCCCGCAGTGGTTCCTTTATCGAATTTGAAGAAGTTGAAATAGGAATCCATGCTGATTTGATTGCCCTCCAGATGGAGTTTGGTGAGGTTTTCGAGGCCAAGAAACGTGCACCATGTCGGATTAACAAGGATGAGATTCTCAGACAGGTGAAGATTCACGAGACCTGGGAGGAGTCGAAACGCTCCGTCACTCAGCTCCCCGATCACATTCCGCTCGAACTTCACAGTTTCAACTGAGATTGATTCCAAGTGTTTCTCCCCGAGGCGATCAATATTGGAATCCACCACGTGGATGTATCGAATGCCCTCCGGAAGTGGCTTCGGCAGATGCGTCACGTTTCGGCATAGGAGTTCCCTGTCTTTCACGTGGCAGTTTCCTTCCTGTAGATGCGGTGGAGACTGTGCGAAGCCTTGCTGCAGGAATTGTCCGAGGAGGGTTAATACCCTCATGGCGAGTCCCCTCAGGAAAACCATCACGATCTCACTCGAGTTTAAAGAGTAGAATTTCGCAATCACAAGACCAGGGACTTTTAATTTAAATTGAAAACTTCCGTCTCTAGCGCAAAATAAGGAAACGAGAACATGTCGTACAGAAGATATTGATAATCCCGATTTAGGAAACTTTGGGAAGCACACTGCAAGGGAAATCAAGTGATAATTTTTTTCCCATCGTTATCTACCATCGTCACGGCAAAGCGTGGAAAAACCCATCTTTATCTCGCGCATGGTGAAGTAAAGCCCGTTTCAAGGAGAGTCCGTATGGTTATCAAAACACATCTGGACTGCAAACTGACCAAAAAGTGAGATCTCTTCAGCATCTGAAATTAGGGGTAGGCTATATGGGTCTGAAGGAAATCGATATTGCCGACCATGTTCATATCGATTTTGCGACATAGACTTAGGTAATCACGGGTAACACGTCGAATCCTCAAAGATCCGAGTCACACATTGCTCTTGAATCCAAACATGACGAAAGAAACATTGATCTGCTTTGCTTCTAATCATAGGCACTGGTAGTTTGCATTGAATAAACGCATTCCTTTTCGACGAAAAATGATGGGGACAAAATGACTCTGAAAGGGAAATCACAGAGCGTTGCCCCCGAAGTGCAATGTCTTCCATTGCCTTCTCATCCTCCAAGTTTCGAGTGGTTCATGGTAGAATTGCGAGGAAGCCTTTCAACTTTCATCAATCTTCAGCTTTTCCTCCAGTAGTCAACCTCGCACGAAAAACGGTAGTCAGTATGAGGTAGTGCGAGGGTGAAAAGCGACATAGTGATATGCATACACGTATCCGACAAGCGTACAATTTATTGCACGTACAGGCCGAAATAAGTGGAATCCAGGCATTTCCTGCATCCCTTTCTGCGATCTCTTCGTCAGTTTCAATGATCGTGAGAGATATATGGTGTGGCGCCCAAAGGGATGCCGGCGCCGCGCGGGGCTAGACCGTTGTTTACCTGGTAAGTGCTAAGAGGGTCAACGCTCAGAAGCGTGTGACGTCATGGTGTTGCCTCCTTACCCATTCTGTCTTTTGCTTTTCTCATCCTTGAGGGAGGATGGTTTATATATGCAAATAAACAGGGTGTGTGCTCTCGGTGAGGGATATCTTTCGATTCATACGGGGTCCCTCCTATCTGTGTGTGTGTTTGTGCTTTTCATCGTCAGGTCACGTCTCTAGTGCGGAAGGAGTTGCACACTTGTTGACAATCAAAAGAGAAATATATGAAAGTAATTGAATAAAACCGGAGAGTCCATTTGTCGAGCAGTCCGGTTTTAGCATCTGCTCTCTAGCTGGTGCCCTAAGAGCGAACGGGTATTTCTACCTCTGTCTCGTATCGATGGGTTGACCTAATGACTGCCATATATTAGAAATGAATCATATGGTGTTGAATTTAGTCATCCTTCACGCATTCACAGGAACAGTGTATGCCTGACAGGATTGGACTATGTGAGAACCTGATGCTCTCGGATCCATTATTTAATTTACAATTCGTGTGAAATGATTATACTGATTGCGTAGCCACAGACACTACGACGTGATACGGAACCCGTCAGTATAAATTAGTTAAATTCCAAATGGAACAGCTTTTACTGAAATGTTAATCTGTGCTTATTGTTGCCCTATGCATATTTTTCTTTCCTCATATCGAAGGTCTCTACTGGAGAAGATAACGTGATTATTGGCGTAGAAGGAAATAAGAAATCGGTGCATTTCGCAAGTGGATATGGAAACTGCGTACTATGCTCCGTAGAAGCCTCGTAGCTTTTGTGGATTAGAGGCGTTTTATTAAAGTGCGATGGAACAAGGACTGTCAGTGACAAGAAAGGAAGTCGGTGATTGGCTATAGACGTATATTCTATACATTAACCACGCAGGAAATCTTTTCGACGAGATCGTAACTGACATTGACGAACGATGGCAGGCCGATCTCAAGGATGTTCAAAATCTCTCTCGGTACAATGACGGAGGCAGATATATCCTCCCCTGCATCGACGTCCTGTCAAAATATGCTTAGATGATTCCTGTGAAATGCAAGACGGGGACAGAGATTGCCACGGCCTTCAAGAAAATTCTCAAGGATGGCAGGAAACCAAAGAAAATACGGAGCAACGCAGGGAAGGAATTCTTGAACCGGACATTTCAAGACCTTCTCAAGAAGAAAGGAATCGGCTTTTTTGTTTCAAATTCGAAGAAGAAGCGTAGTCGAACGTTTAATACGTACGATTAAATCCAGAATGTGGAGATACTTTAGAGCTCGAAACATCTTTAATAATAGATATGTATTGCCACGGCTTGCGGAATCATACTATATAACACATTCCATTCAGCCATGAACATGAAATCCATTTAGTCACCCTCGCAAGGCTCAAGACCATGTTACATAATTTGCATGGGAATACGTGGGAAATAAATAATCCAGTGGGATATAAATTTACAGTTAATGACTTCGTACGCATACCTGTTTCCTGCATGCCGTTTCGGGAAGGGTACCTGGGGAATTGGACTGAGGAAATTTCCATAATCACTGAATTTAATTCTAGGATGCCACCTACGTACAGGATAGAAGATTTGAATGGGGATCCAATTGAAGGACCCGGAGCTTCAGAAAGTGAAACCGGATCTTGCAGGCTACTTCAAGGTTGAATCTCTTATCCGAAAGAGAAAGAGAAAAGAAAAGAAAGAGTATTTTGTGAAATGGCTTGGCTATCCAGAATCCTTCAATTCCTGAGTTTCAGAAGATGAAATTAAAAAGATTCAGTAAAACGTTAGCAGTCTTTTTCCATTTTCTCAGACACTAAGATGACCTTTGACGTGACGTTTCCAGGTGACAGTTCCCCAGATTTTCCCCCCGAGAATACAGTTACCAGATTGAAGACGTTTTAACCCGAACTCCTCGTTCCAAATGGGCGACGGAAAGTTGGACTGGTGGAGATCTTGTACCTTATCCTTAGGAAAATGTAACCGACAACATGTACTTCATCTCAATTAAAACAGATAAGAAAATTGGAACGTACGAAATTCCGCACTGCTATGATTCAAGGATTCAAGACTTGAGGACAGGCTTTACCGCAGGAATACTTGAGGGGACAAACGAGAATTTAATAGAAGCCCGAGTTACGGTACGTCGAACTGTCGTGCAAATTCTGAGCGACAAAGTGATGGTGAAATTTCCTCCAGCACTTAATCTCCTCTTGGGTTTTTCTCCCTCGACATTACCATTCAGCACGGGTTCGTCATCCGTGCCACTTTGCGAATCTAGTGAATATTGGTCGAAAATTAGCTACATGGGGATTTTGCGGCTGATGCCGAATCCGTGAAAACGATCTTTGTGCGGCGTAGTACGTTGGCCTCGTGAAGGTACCGCTCTTGAGAACGGTGGAAACAAAAATAAAACCAGATGAAACCATCTAGAAGACATGCGAAAATCCTCATTATCTTCCCGTATCGAAAAAAAGTTTATATGATCGAGGTGGATTGAAGAACGGAGTTGGAAGCTTCAAAATTTGGTGAATAAGACTACATTCATAAGTCCGCCATTATTAGAGTGTCACCAAGAGGACAACATCTCGGAAGTCGAGTGCACGATCTTCTTATATATTGATGTGAAGACAGGAAGGAAAATGGCAACATCATCAGTGCCTTGTACGAAGTCGGAATTGGACATATCTGCATCGCCACCTCTGCAGACTGCTATGGAAGACGGGGAATGGAATCACCCAGTCACACACATCACAGCGAATTCTCGTATTCAGTTCCAAATTTCCAGGTATTCAGACTATTATTTGGACCTTGCTCCATCCTAATTGGTTGTGGCTGACAAACTGAAGAAAATGGACCACACCGAGAAAACGAGAAAATCATTTCGCCATCGAACATTACATATCCTCATTTAAATTAAATTATTTTAAATTAAACTAAATTTTTTTAAAGACACGACAGAATTCTGGGACTTTCGGCATGCTCTCAGAGTTGCTATTCTATACATATTCGATCTGCAAGTTCTTTTCTGCTGACATCGTTCCGCAACACGGGATTCCGTATCGGCTTACGGAAAAAAACTCGAACCAAGCCTTAGTCCAGGTTGAAATATACTCCACGCAATATATGAAACGGAGAACCGGGAGGGGGGGCTTCTCCATTCTTCCATAAGACATGCTCCTGACATCTAATGTGTTCTTGAAAAATCACTAGTTGCAATCGAGATGGTATAGATGTCACAGATCTCTCGATGTTACACCTAACGATGTAGAAGTGACCTTCGAGAGAGCACGCACACGTCCTTATCTCACTTGTTATATCCTCCATTAACTCCGATAGTGATGCCTCCTTTCATTCGCTCACCTCCTCTACTATCCTCTTCCAAGGCTCCACTTAAGAAGCATTCGTCGTGCCAGTGCAGTGTTAGGCAATGGGACCTGAGTGAGGTGTAATGTCGTCCAGCGTCCGAAAGTCGTCGTGACGTAAGCTGACGCTTATGTCGCGAAAAGCCTTTAGTGTCTGAAGTTTCCCAGGACAACCTGATCATGCAGGTGGTATTAACCAAAGTCGCGATCTTCCAATGGAATCGGAGTCGGGATAGTGGGCCGTAGCTCACTGCAATGAACGCTAAAGGTAACTCCCTATAAAAAAACAAGCTAATTTCAAAACTCTACTGGAAATGATCCTAGCTCTCCTTTCCGTAACGGTAGGTTGGGGTTGGTCTGTGTCACCCTTTACATTGCGTTCGAATTTTAAACACATCCATGCCAAGGTGAATCGCTCCCCCTCCCCTCACTCAAGAAGCAAATCATTCAGACACCATATGTTTCCTGCTAAATTGTAAGAGCTTCTCATTCAACAAAGAGTATCGCCAGCAGTCATTATGTGACCAAGTGCTATCATATGAATTGATACAATCAATCGGGAGAGAAAGTTTCCGCTGGTCATTTTGAATGCTAGCCCTAATTTTTGCGCCTGATTTATTTATCCGAAAATGATATAAACGTAGCCACTTCATTAGCCTGAATTGACATGAATGAAGACAAGTGACAGGAAATACGCTGCAAAAAATAGAAAACATGGATTTCACTCCCTATAAACGGGAATGGCAGTTGCTTGAAGCGATCCCAGACGCAGCCCTAGTCC